CCCTCCCCCACCCCGCCGCTTATGCCCCTCTTTCCACTCCGTACCAGCAACTTTTACTCACTCTCCAACCCCTTTCATCCTCCGAGGTCCCTCTGGACGAGGCACTTGCACTCACCCTCGTGTTCTGCCCTTCCAGAGCGTCCTGCCCGGCCTGGCCATGCTCTTCCAGGCCGCCCTGCCGGTCCTCCTGGCCGCCCTGGCCGCCGCCGTGCCAGCCAAGTTGCCGCCGGCCGCGGCGCCGGCCCCGCCCCCGGCCCAGGCCGCGTCCTCGGACGGCAAGCTTCCCGCCGACATCCTCTGCAGCGTGTACGGCGGCTCTTACTGCAAGGGCGTCCCTCAGCAAGCGCAGCCGACCCGCAGCAAGCGCCAGGAGCCCGTGGATCCGGACCAGTGCGCAATCTTTGGCGGCCCCAGCTGCCAGGGGCAGGCGGCGGAGGGCGGCTCGGAGCCCGCCCGCAATCCGCGGCAGGACCAGGACGCCGGCACCGTCCCCGCGGACCTCGACCCGAACCAGATCTGCAGCATCTTCGGCGGACCCACCTGCCCGCCCTCCGACCAGAACAAGGTCTACGACCCGGTAAGTCATCCTACTCCTCACGTGTCACGTTTAGTAGAGTTGTTTCGGATAGGATATGATATGCGTATCCCTGTGCTTTAGTCTTTGACCGATAACGTAATCCTGATCTGAAATAGAATGCTGTGATAAAAGCACCCCACCGTCTGAAATTGGCGTAATTTTTGTACTGTCCCTCACTCACCCTCTGCCTCTTTATTGTTGACCGCGTAGTGCTTGTGCCCCAGCGGCCAAGGCGAAGGCTGCGAGTGCGTCCCGTACTACCAGTGCGACAACGACACGGGCTCGTTCAACACGGACGGCAAAGGCGTCATCGACATCCGCCAGAAGCAGGACCGGGAAGAGTTCGACGCGAGCGCCCCCAACTCGACGTGCTCGCACTACCTGCAGCAGTGCTGCAGAATTCGGTCGGGCAGCGGTCCCTCGTCGGAGGCCCCCTGGCCCACCCCTGACCCCTACCCTACACCGGACACCTACCCTACACCGGACCCCATCCCTTCGCCTAAACCCGTTCCCGGCCCTCACCCCGTCACCCAGCCCAAGTGCGGCGTTCGCCACGGGGGCGGCATCGGCAAGAGGATATCCGGGGCCATGCACGACGAGGCGGACTTCGGAGAGATCCCCTGGATGGTGGCCATCCTGAAGAAGAGGCAGGCGGAGCACGACTACATGTGCGGAGGTGGGCTGATCGCGCCCAACGTCGTGCTGACGGCCGCGCACTGCGTCGACGGGTGAGTACCGGCCAACCGGCCACCGCTTCCTCCTCGCCCTCACCGCCGGCGGGCTGGCACCACCGAGGTCATGACACCTTCTTTCCCCTCGACAGGAAGTCGGCGAGCAGCATGAAGATCCGCGCCGGCGAGTGGGACTCGCGAACCGAGCTGGAGGCCTACCGCCACCAGGACAGGGACGTGGACGCCATCGTGCAGCACCCCGACTACGTGCCGCAGTCGCTGCACAACGACGTGGCCCTTCTCATCCTCCGCGAGCCCGTCAAGGTCGGCTTCCACATCGGCACCATCTGCCTGCCCGACCAGGACCAGAACTTCGACTACAAGAGCTGTCTCGTCAGCGGCTGGGGGAAGAACGTCTTCGGCAAGGAGGGCGTCTACCAGAACATCCTGCGCCGCATCGACGACCTGCCCGTGGTGCCGCACGCCCAGTGCCAGGAGAAGCTGCGCAGGACCCGGGTGGGCCCGTACTTCAAGCTCAACAAGAGCTTCATGTGTGCCGGCGGCGTCAAAGGGAAGGACGCGTGCACGGTAAGGATACGGGGCGGGGTAGAGAGGGGCACCCCCGGGCGGGGAGCGGTGCGGGGAGCGGTGCGGGGC